TTGGATAGCGCTCGTGACTAGGATAAAGGAGCAGGGTCGCCGATTGGTCGCCTGGAGTGGATGGAAAGATTTCTATTTGCAACAGGAGCACTCTAAAAATAGACCTGTGAAGTGTTGAAAATCCAATGTGTCAAAATTTCATAATCCTGATACTACGAGATACATAGTAAAAAATGACTTCTCATTACAAGATTATATAATTATTTTGTCAGTTGATCATCTTCAATCAAGGATATATATTTATATTTATATTTACCACCAACCAAACCGATTTTTCAAACGCCTCGACACGTGTTTCGCTAACTATGTATGTATCTTCAGGAGAAGATTGAAACTGAAATCATTAATAATAGACAATATGATATTTGTACACAGTAAAAATAGAAATCTGGAAATGAAGAAAAATAAATTCAACCAAAGAAATCCTACTCTCCTATATTCATAACGAAATATTTTATCAAATTGAGCAATAATTCATCTCAATTCGGAACTTTTAACTCTCATCTTGAAACGATACAATATTATGTTCGTTTGACGCGCAGCTTCAAATTCTCTCAACAAAATTCACGAATGTGTTGAAGAGAAATGCTAGAAGATGCTTATTTGGAGAGATCTGAATACTCATTTCAAGATAAACGATGTGGTCTTGTTTTGAAATTTGTTCCTATTTCTCTATGGAAATCTGCAATTTACTCTAATTGAGAAATTTCACTATCTCTGATAGAAACTGCGAGAACTTCTGATATAATCAATTATCAGCTCTACTAGATGTCGAATAACTATTGTTGTTGTTCTAAAATTGTTCTTATCCTTCATTCGGTTGTCCCCTCACGAGCAACCCTCAGAAGTCTTCAAGAGATTTGTATGAACAAGGAATGACGGGGGTCTTACCTTTTAACGTGTGATCCCATACACTTTCTTAGGCCATCAGAAAAATTTCTGCGGTCGTGGTATGGGAATCGAACCGTTACCACCGATACAACATCGGTGGTAACGATCGAACCCACCTACCGGCAACCCAACGTGCTATACTCAAGATCACCTCATTTTTCTATTTGAAAACGCATTCTTCCATTAACCCAAATCATCGAAACACACCATCTTCTCAACTCAATATGTGCTCTTGTAACTCAACAAGTGAGGTACGTAGTTTTTGAAAGGTATCAGATTAGTATAGATGTAGTTATCATTAGGTATTAGATTAGTATAGAGTTCAGATAATTCATACGACGCTATAAAAGCAGATGATATTTTATCATTGCTCATGTAAGATCGAAGTAGAGGCCATGGCACCATATCATGAGCATATTTTAATATTGAAACTATCATTGGGCACCAAAGATGTGTATACGACGCTATGAAAGTTCAGAGAACTGGAGATTATTTCCACAAACTACGTACTCAGCCGTTACCACCGATACAACGGTGGTAACGGTTTGGCACCAAAGGCTCCTCCAAAAACTACCATCATATACGGCGCACCACCCCAGAGCTATGCAATCTTTTATTAGTTTTCTTTCTGGCAGATCGCTTTATGTGGTGGTGGACAGTGTATCGCCTGATACCATTGCAATCAATTCCGGCGTTTCACAAGAATTAATTTTGGGTTGAAAATCTTAATTCTGAACCACCCTGTACCTATTTCAATTGAATATCAATTGATAGTGGATGAAAAGTTGAGATAGGGACATCTGAACCGTTTTGACCAATTATGAATAGTTTGGACACAAATAAACCTTACAGTTGTAAAATCTCGATTTTTCACACCCCATATCTCTGTAATTGTCACTGCTAGACCCCAAGTATTATGGGTCAATGGAATCAGCTTTTCAAGAAGAATCTGAAAATGCAATAATTTACAGGGTGTCCTATACAAAAATTCAAAGTTGTTACTATTATGCTCCTTTTCGATATAAACGGCAACGTCGCAGCGCTGAGAATATTTTAGGTCGATAAAGCACAACTAATTAACGAAGGCACCAAATTTTCAGAATAATCCCAAGTTACGTTCTCCACAGAAACGTCTAATGTGCCTTCCATCGTGAATCAGCCTGTATATACACTAATATACAGGGTGTAATTTAATTGATAGCTCAAAATGGAGGATATGGCTCATTTTGGAAAGGAAAGGTCATATGAACATATATGTCTCAAACCTCTCAACTTTCCAGCTATAGAAAATATGGTGCTAAAATTTTAAGAAGAGATTCGTTTTCTTATCATGACTTCAATACTGTTCTATATATTTTCATGAAATTTGACATGCACCTACTGAGCCACATGTGATAGTTCGTAGGTGAGATTTGTTTTTGTTCAATTTTTATTCAAGTAAAGTTAATTGATCGAATTTGCCAAAACAGTTCTTATTTTTTTACGAGAAAACGGTCGTACGGAAAAAATTTGGGATTTGTTGCAAAATGAATGAGGATTGCTAGGAAGATTTTCATTTTTGAAGAAAGCAAGGGCGTACTATATTGTTTTAGAAAGATCTCCAGTTTTCACCCCATACGGACGCCACTGGGAGAAATATTGAAAAATCTCCTGCATCAAAAAATGTCGAATTCCATAAAAATATCTCGAGCAGTATTAAAGTTGTGATGGAAAAACGGAACTCTTCTTGAAACTCTAACACCCTATAGCTCGAAAGTTAAGAGGTTCAGGAAGTATATTCATATGAACTTTGCTTCTCACAATGAGCTAAGGAACCATATTCTATATTTGAGCCATGAATTGAACTTTATGCTGAATATGTTAGAAAGGCTGATCAATATAAAACGTCAAATTTGTTACTCTACCCACCAGAGCCAAATAGTTTCGTTTTTTAGAATTTCAGACTGAAATCAACGATCGTGACCCAGTATGAAAAAATAGCATCAACAGAATGCTTCATGTTGGTACAACACGTTTTATGTGGTTTTCGATTCGACTGAATGAAAAAAATGTCACATACGGCTGCCGTTCTATATTTGATGGCAAACATTCCGTCCATTTTCATCTCTCGATTTCCATGACGGAAATACGTAATTTCCGTTGCCGCCGATTTTTCGTACAATGTAAATTCCAGAGTTCCATAACAAATTTCGAAATTGTCTGATTCGGTCACGTCCCATTGACAATAGACAAAAATGCATGTAATAAATTTGATGTACTATGAGATGAAACATATAGGTAGGCGCTTACTTCGTGGGTGGGTGGATCAGATCATAGAAAATGTTCATTCTGACGAATATTTCAAATGATTCCTACAAGTTTTCCGATTATTATTCCAGATTTCTTGGGATTTTCTCTACTTGTTTCTCTAAACTGAAAATATGAATATTATTTTTTCTGCAACCGACACAAAAGTCGTCCATTTTGATATCAAAATTAGCTCTTAAATTTACGTTTCTATTACTGACACAAAAATAGGTATGTTGCTAGGCAACATATTTAGTTCCTAGGAGCTAAAATTGAACTTTAGTTCCTAGGAGCTAAAGTTGAACTTTAGCTCCTCAGAACTAAAAAGGAAGTACTGGACGTCATCAAGAATAAACAACATTGTTACGGTTGGTTATTTGGGTTGAGACGCATACCTGATTTGTTTCCGATTTCGGCAGATTTGGCATTTTCATACCCATGCTGGAGATATAAATACACCTTATTATAGTTGAGTATCGGAATTATAGACATCTCAGTTAAGTATTTTTGTTTTGATCAGGGAAGCCTTCAAGATTCAAATACTTGCTGGATCTGTATTTCATTCGTTATTCTCGGGATGGATAACTTGTTTTCGAATTATCACGGCAAGCAATAGTTTTTTGACTCAAACCACGATATTGTTTACCTTCATTTGATTATCTAGCGAAAAACATGGAGAGGAGTAAATGATCGCTATTATTATTGTTGATATGCTCACTAACCCAACATTTTCCACGTCATTGTTACTATAGTTAGTATAGCTGGAACTGGCGCGGTATTTGCCATTAGAGCAACTGGTACATACACAAATATGTCACTCTGTGATTGTATTCATATTGAACCTTTATTGAAACTACAATTCGAACATCCTTGGAAATTGAATGAACCTGCTGTTAATGCAGGTATAATGTTCCCACTACACGGATTATTTTGTCAATATTTGTTGCATTGCATACATATGGCACAGCATTGGTGGTAACTTCACATATTTATTTGAGTTAATTGTTCCGGTTGCAGAAAAAATAGCATGTTTCATTCGGATAAAAAGTGACTTTGTTCGACTCGCAAATTTTGCTTTCGCTCGGCTTCGCTAAACGCTCCGCCTCGCAAATGTAAAATTCGCTTGTCAAACAAAGTGTCACTTTTGATCCTAATAAAACAATCTACTATTATTATACGTGTAGTGAGGACAAATCAGATGATTTTCCCCAAAATGTCACTGAGTTTAAAGAGAGAGAGCCTGAAAAAAAAATTCACTAGCTTGTCAGTGACAATTTGTATTGAAAAAGGTTTGGAGAAGACAAATGAAGGTGAATAAAAAAATATCAAATTTTCACTTAGCTTTGGACGTTTCGAGAACAAATCTGCTCCCGTTTTCAACATAAAAAATGGATATTTGAATAGTGAATTCGTATTTGTCTTGACACTGTTCAGTTCTCTCAAATGAGTTATATACAGGATGTTTTCATTAATTAATCTTGAATCATGTTTTGGGAAGATGAGAAGGAGTACTTATACTTTTATTGACCAAGTTATTCGAACCATTTTTCTCTACAAAATGGACACAATCCTCTATAACTTATAATTTCAACAATGTTGCCGGATTTGTACGTGGGATCAAGTTTTTATTTTCTATTGTGCACTGGAATGCAATATTTGTGGAAGTTCGTATTTTGATGCAATTTTTTCTCCATTTTTGCTGGTTGGTTACTGTGAGAAATCACGACGAAATCATTATCGGTATCATTTTGCGGGCACTTATGGTATTACCTAATTGATTTACGTCCATCGACTGGTGGCTGTGAAATTTTCAATCTACTCACCTATTCGGATCCGAGATATCCCAGTCCCGTCGAATCTGCCCATTCAGCATGTCATTTTTACGGTTCTCCCATCAAGAATTTCTGGAAAGAAAGAGTTCGGTTTAGTTGCTTGAATTCAAACAGGTGCTCGTTGAACATTATCCCAAAATCATATGATAATTGCGACTCCCAGGAGCATACCTAGATTTAAAATTTCTATTTCTTCCCAGGAAACTGAGAACTAACGACTATGCAACTAACAAAACAATACTCAGCATTGTGTTTTGTGGCTGTGGTATAGTCGACGAGTCGACTATGCGTTGACGGTCACAGGACACAGACAGCAATATTTTTAATTAAATAATAATTCAGAATTTAACGAATATTCTTGAGACAATTAAGTTCAAAATAATACTGTGTACCTGTCAAGTCATTATTATTTTTTGTTTCATGAACTGACAACGACGAAGCGAAATACAAAATCGAAAACACAGGTATGAAGGTATTCAGTAGCCAATCAACTATCGAAATACAGAAACGAAAACATCATGTTTCCGATTATTAACACAGACATTCCAATCAAAAACGTGTATTTTGTAATGAGTGAAATAATCAGTATAATACCGAATGATTGACTAGAAAAACGTATTGCTTCGTTGAAACAAAGTAAAAATCGACACGGCAACATAAATGCTAACACCGTTCGCTCGAATTAGGAAATGAGGTTTTCTCACCGTCCTCTAACGTTCTCTCGCAGAAAGCTGACCGAGAGATGTCAGCAATAAAATGGAAAATGGAGAAACTCAGGAAATAAACTAATAAATGGAACAGAAGGCGTCAACAGCTGAAAGGAACTCAATAGATTGCGAAAGCTGAAACCAGCTCTTTCAGGACAGACATATATTCTTTTTCCCAACAGAAGTAAAAAACTTTCAGTGCCAAACAAAACATAAGGGCGAAACATCAAGAAAGATTTCAATCCTATTGTCTGCGAACAGAACAACGTGTTTTACTTACACTATATATACAAAGTAATTTGAACATTAGTACAAGGCGATTATTAATGTTTTTCTCGATAGATATCTCAGTTATTTTTTATGGTAATTCAGAGTCTAGTACTAAAAAATGCGAGAAATCATCGTGAATATAAAAATTTGAGTTGAACTTGTATTCTTCAAAGAGAATACCCTGTTTTCCATTTTCCAAAACGGTAGAGGTATTTCTTCTGATTTCACCCATAGCAAATATTCAGATATGGTGCATCAATGGCCTAATTTTTCCCATACCAGACATCAGCGTCCCAGTAAATGGTCCCATATGCGGGACTCTATATATCAGTACACTGCGGCGGCAGTTGGTCCCAGTGCTGGTCACCCAGCACTCATATTCAGTTCCCCGGCAAAAGGCCAGTACAACATAATCGACACATTGAGTTTCCCATAGCAAGCCCAGCATATACATAAATGATGGGACTGTACTGGCCAATTAACGACATTGGTTACATACTATCGAGATAGGGGTGGGGTAGGGGTTTTAGGGGTCCAATAGATCTGAAAGTTCTAGTACCTCTTTATTTTTCAATATAACCCTCTCATCATAAATCATACACATACCAGATTCCAAGAGAATGATTTTATGAATGACACAATGATATCTTATTCTTAACCTCTCTGTTCTTCAATGAAACTTCTCGGAGTGACTGCGCACTGGTTGGTATTTGGTATCTACATCTTATTTGGAAGCATTCCTTCAAAGTTGATTCTTCGTTGTGAGGTACTTCTGAAATATAGAATGAATCATTAGTTATATATTAGTGGCCTTTGAGTTGCATGAGTTTATAACTTGATAATATAGTCTGATGACGTGATAACATGGAGCTTTTCAATTCTCATTATTTTCTTCGCACAGGTATTTCTGTAGCTGAAACCTCATTGTCATTTAGTTCTTCAATATAGAGACAGCTTCACATAACCTAAGATTGCTTTTGATTGCAACAAACGAGTTAGAAATCATATAGTTGCTTTTGGAGAAGTATAGCCAACTCCAATTATTATGATCATTAGATATATGAGGTTACGAGATACCAAACACATGCATTTGATAATGAAATTCGGAACACTATGTAGATAGATTGATACTCACTCAATATTATCATGATTGAAGAATCCGTCTTCTATTATTATCAATTGAGAATACTCCTGCCATCATGAATAACCGCCAGGGAAAGAGAGGATCACATCAATTCGACATAAACAAACTAGTACGCGATTACCACTCACGAGAGTCAGCCATCTTAGTCACATATAATATTGATCAGCTGATTGTTGATGTAGAAGTTCCCAGAACATCCACCAGGAGGAAGAGTAGCGAACATGAAATTGGCCAGCAAAGGGCCAGATCTCGTTGGTATTCAATTAGTTCCAGACATCTTACCATCATAAGGCCATCATCGTATTTTTAACTGATGGTTACTTGGCATAGGAAAATCATCGGCCCATGACCAATACCCCGGCATCGTCACTTTCCCAGACAAGCCTGCACTAGGCCGGACTTCTCCCGCTAGTTCAATGTTTGCTGGGAATATATATGGTTTTCGAAAAAT